TCTTTGCAGTTGTGTCAAGATCAAGAGCTTTTTGACTGATTACAGATTCTTTGTGATATGTAATTGAATTTTTAACATAGGTTTCAAAACGTCGTAAAAGAGGCTCTCGGAAAGTGCGAGAAATCTCATGAGAAATTAATTGTTCATAGCGTTGTTGAAGGGATTTTGACCAAAACTGGAGCACTGTGTTTTCAGAATCTGAACTCAGATCAGACTCTTTAAACAATTTAACTTCTTCAGAATCCCAGTCATGTTTTGCTGCTTCGTCTGTAAAGCTTTCTTCAAATGTATGGCATGCTCTGTTAACTATTTTTCTCAGAACATTTAATTTTACATGGTCGATTTCCTTTCCTAGATCATTCAGTACTATAGCTAATATTTGGTATCTTCGATATAATGGCTTCTTGTTAAGTTCTACCTCAAGAGTAGCATACAATTGTGATTCAAACTTTGTCATGTAGGATTGTATGATAAATCGAATTTCTTCTATAATATATTGACTCTTAATTGATCGATCGACAGCAATTGCTGTAATTTTCATAAAATTCTCGTAAATACTTGGATTTTTCTCTTTAATCGCGCCCAACGGTAAGTTGATAATTTCGTTGGACTCTTCTGGGAGATACTTATTTAAACACATAGCAGATTTAACATCAGCCATTAGCCATTCGTTAAGTGTATCTGATATATCGTTGATGCCATTGTGAACTTTTTTTAGTAGCGTGTTTTGTTCTCGTTTGCCAATTTCTTCTTCAAAAACCGCAGAGTTGAATTCTTGCAAAACACTAAATTCGAAGTCTGCTGCCTTGTCAATAGTTATGGTTCTTTTTGCAGCTATTCGCGTCGCTCGATAATATGCATAAGAACCGATTTTGTAGATAGCATAAGCAGCGATGGCAATAACAGCAGCGGCCAACACGAGAGTTACTCCAGTCCAGCCAAAAGCCACAACTGCAACAACAGCAATGACAATTAATAATATTGCACCAATAGCCATCAACCAAAGCCATGCTGTGTCTTCTTTCACGATTGCCACTTGTTTAAGACCATTAGCAATGAAGTGTTTTAACTCTTGATTAGGATCAGTACCATTGTCAACGATATATTTTTGAGTTTCAATTAATGTACAGTCTGCATCGGCAATAGTTGGTCTGTTTGCTTCAATGATGTCTTCAATTTTGTTGAAATCATGAATGTGCTCAAGGGCTTGCACTGCATCATTGTATCCATCGTCAATTTTTCTTGGAATAGCCAAAGATATGCGAGATGGCATTAGAATTCCGCATTCAAGCATATCAGCGAGCAAATCTTCATAAGGATTTGTTGGTAAATAGATGAACTTTGGTGTAGTAGGGTTTTCGAATGCTTTAGCGAATGAATTACGCAATGAATCGAGCGCGTGTGTATAGGAAAACCGGTCAGCAAAAAATTTTTCAACAGCAACACGCAGTGCATCAGGAAGTGAATCATTGCTGTACTGTTTACCGATAAGTCGATATACTTCGTCAAAATCTGCAGCGATTATTTTATCTTCAACATAGATCGAAATAATCCATCTGGCAGTGATTTCATCGATACCCAAATGTTCTGTCAGCTCTTTCAATGTAAATCCTTCAAAATTTCGCATGTATACATTTAAGTTAAATAGACGCGTTGGATCCACCACAGCAACAAATTCTGTAGCAATTGCTCCGTTTTCTAACATGGCTTTTAATTGAGGCAGATTAGAGATTTTTTCTTCGGCCTTGACAACATCATCCAATTTAAAGACTTTCACAGAATCCAATGGAACATCTGTAAATTGAAGTCGAAAAGCTTGAATCTTATTGAACGTGCTCAGATCTACAGGAATCAAGCCTTCAATAGTTTCCGGTAAGCGTGTAGTAAAGTATTTTGATTCTTCAAGAAACACACCCAATTCACGGAGTTCGTTCCAAAAATCGAGTCGACTCGGAAGTTTAAATAATCTACGCAATTCGAATGCTTCAAGTTCTGGCCTTCCTTCATTTTCGAAACCTAGTGGATCCAGTTTCCGAAGCGCTTCAAGCTTAGTTACAAGTTCTTTTCGTGAAATTGGATGTCGCGAGCAAATAAATTCAATTTGATCATTATGTAGTTTTGAACTCAGCATAGTTCTTGTTGTTATACCTAATTCTTTTAGTATATTTCGCAACACGATAGCATTCAGCTCATCCCTACCATTATGGCGCAACTCTGCTGCTTCAATAGGTTTGCCAATGAATTTATCGATGTTTCCAACGATAGCGTCATGAACAGCAGCATACTCTTGGTGTTGATCGGCAAAACCATTTGTACTGATGATACTTTCATTTGCATGTTGTAATCGTACCACAGTAGTTGCAAGTTCACCACGATGAAGTCGGCGTAAGGAAAAGCGTTGTCGAGATTCATGAAATGCATTGATCGCTGCAACAATCTCACGTTCCTGTGTTCCAATGAGCCATTGTTTCCAAGTATCCGGGTCGAAAGCTTTACTAAAACTAAGTTTGCCATACACTTGACGAGTAATACGTTGTTGAATAACTCCTATGTAGTAATAAGCTTCGGCAGCATATTCTGGAAAATCTTTAATTACTCGATGATATATAGACTGTGCTTGATTGGTATTGTTTTGATTGAGCTCAATTAAACCAAGAGTCAGCAACGGTTGTGGATACTTGATCCATTTCATTGCAGTTTCAATGTTGTTCAATGGATGTGACATTAGAAATTGTTGAACAGATTCAATGATGGTATGTTTGTCTTCATCACTGCAATTTTTCGCACATTGCTGGATGAGTGGCGCTTGTTCATCGAGCCAAAGTGCCCATTCATCTAGGAGAGCAAAATATATGACTTGCATTGGTTTTGGGAGTGTGTTTGTATTAGAAGTGTTTTCTATTGATTGTACGGACTCTAGTACTCTGCTAGAATGTTCCCAAAATTTGTTTAAGCAACTTTCTTCCACGGCAGTATGATAATCATAGCGTCGCTTCAACGATTGCAATCGATGCACTTCAGCATTATCACGAAATTCTTTTAATTGGAAAATAGTCGGTGTTTCCGATGCATCAATACGTGTGTCATTTTCAATTAGTGCAATGATCTGCCCAGAACCAGGATGACCACAACGAGCTGCCCGACCGAACGCTTGCTCTTCGATTCGACAATTCTCTGGTAGGAAAGCGACGATGACGTGAAGTCCACCTACTTGTTGCAAGCCTTCACTGAGTTCAATATCTGTGCCACGACCTGCAAGATTTGTTGCAATGATAATGCGACCATTTCGTAGTGCTTTGACACCGGATAAATCGAATTCATCATGATCTCGTCGATAAACAATTAAGTTATCGAAACAAGCTGACATAATTTTGTTAACAAACACCCGTTTCCAAGAAACACCCTTCATGAAGTGTTTTCGAACCAGTTGTGCGAATTTACTTTTGCCAGGAAGCGCCTGTTTTTCCATTCGGTGTAATCGCTCTAAGCCACGTTGTACAACATCGACTTGACTGATTGAATTACATATAATCAGTACTGATCGTCGTGCGATAACTTGATCCTTAACTTCTTCATAGATATTTTGCAACCAAAGTGATTCGTTTGCAGCGACAAGTGGCACATGTTCATAGAAGTTCTTTGGTTTCCACGTTGGAATCCGTACTAAGTCAGCCTCATACAGAGCAACCAAACTTTTACTTTCTTCAACGCTGCCAAGAGTTCCACTGAGCCCATTAATACGTTCATAACCTTTGAAAAAACCAACATTGGACACAAAAATGGCTTTCAAACTGATCGGTGACAAACGACATCCATGCTTTAATTGTATTGCTTGATGTAAGCCTTCACTCCATTGTGATGTTGTTAAGTCTACTCCTGTATTTTTGTCGATAATTGTGATGCGTGGACTCAAATCAGAGCTTGCATTTTTATGATCAACATCAACGACGTATTCATCATTGTGACGCATGAACATGGCACGCTTTGTATGCTCAATAAAGACACCTAGATGGCGTAGTACAAAAGAATGTAAATAACGTGGAACTTGGATATGTCTTTCCCGATGAAGAATGGTGCAGATGTAGTCTTTGACTTTAATGGCAAATATTTCAGAGACGACAGTCTCTAATGTTTGTAAAAAGTCCTTTGGTAGTTCCTCTTCTGACTGAATACATAATAGTCCGTCTCGATCGATAGTATTGATTTCGATTAACTTCTGCCAAACTCGACTGACGCCTATCTTTGTGTCTGGATGCATTTTTTCGAGACTTTGCTTGTCAATATATCCGAACATATCAGCAAGTACTTGTTTTCGGATAGTAGCATTTTCAAACTGATTGTATTGCTCTTTACCATGTAATGGAACGTTAATTGTACGATGCAAAAATACAAACAGGGACACAAGTGTTTCCATTCCAGCCACATTATGTGACAAATAGAGCATGTTGTTGCCATTGTCCAGTAGCATATTGTCGACTTCATCAACAATTACACATTCTCTTTTTCGATCACCTAAGATATTTTTCTTATAGAAATTGTGTAGCAAGAAATCGCGTTGAAAATGTTGCATGTCACCGTAGACAATTTGACTTTTGTAAGCTAACTTGCGAGGATCAAGTTGTTCTTCGCAATTGTGCGACGCTGTAATGCGAAAATGATTGAATAATGGTTTCATTTTTTCGACATCTCGACCAGCTAGAACTGGTGAACTCGTGATTATATCGACTGTTTTATTTTGCTTTGCTCGAAGAATAGCTAATGTCGCGATAAGAAGTGTTTTACCTTCACCTGTATTAACTTGTAAAAGCGTGTTTTTCTCGCTTTCTGCAGCAATTAATACTGCCATTTTTTGTGTGTGGCGTAGATGAATCTTAGGACCTTTGGGTCTTGAAAATACTTTTTCAATGACAACATCTATTTCGTTAATTATTTGAACATTTTTGCATTGTTTGGAAGCTAGCTGAGCTGCATGGTTGTTAATTTGTATTTGTCTTTGAACTTTTCGTTTTTCGTCGTCATGCTGCCCAACGATGAGAGTTTTGAGTTTGTCAATGGTGCGCTCATCTGATGGAAAGATTGGTTCGTATGTTTCATTGTGATGCTGTTTGACTTGAGAGAGTAAGTCATTCTGATTTCGTTCGTTCATGAGAAGCGGATAGCCACTCAGTTGCATGCCTGTTTCATTTTGTTGCTCTGGTGGTAAATAGGAAGAATAATTTTTCGATATGACCTCGAACAATTGTTTAAGCTGACTGAGATAAGTTTCATTCGCATTGACTTCACCGTATGCAATTAAATAAGCAACTCGTGCAATGACTTTTTCGGGTATGAGAACTCGGGTGCTTGAAATTTCCTAAAAATGAAATACTACTATTAGCTCAATAATATTGCTAAAGAATAGATATTTGATAGTAAAAGTCAAACTCCATCCTAATTAATTTCAATTTCACTATATATCCCTTATTTATACTCATCTTATGGTGGTACTTCTATGTTAGAATGAACAAACCTGGAGGCATTTTCTTAGCATCGGTTCTTCCGGTCGATTGCGATTATCAAGAAATGCTAGATAGTATCCAACAGCACCGTATTCTTTTAATAGATCACCAATGGCACTCCATTTTTGCCGCTGACTTGTATCAATCCATTCTGTAAGTGTCATTTTTTCCAATCTTTGAAATCTGTCAACTGCATATCGAAGCATGATTAATAGCTTTAATAAAACGCTTTCATCGAATTTCGCTTCATTCAATTTCGTTGAAAACAACGCTTTCAAGTGCGGACTGTCAACGAGATGAATAGCGTTTGCAATTTCCCATCCTTGACTTGCCATAACTCGACGTTTTAGTGCGTTCTCAATACGCACGTACAATAAAGCATCAAGAATATGATGTTGTGGCATGATAGCAGCCAGTTTAAGTAAGAAATCATCTTTTGTATGACAGACAACGGCTGCATGTGAGTAAGCATTTAAGATTGCTTGAAGCTCAACCACGGAAAGTTGACAACCATCTAGATAGAAACGTTTTCGGAGTAGAGACAATAGTAGTGCTGCACGTGGTTGATTAACCGCACAAAACATACGTAGCCATGAAGAGACAATCGGTATGTACTCTTTTGGAAAGAAGTTTGCGATAGATAAAAGCTCCGATAAATTCAATGTCTCTGGCAGTGGTACTTTGCTAATATCAGCCCATTCTTTTCTTGCAACAACCATTGAACGATAATCGATATCCGGTTCAATAGAGTACATATTTTCGTTGTCACTCAGCAACATCAATTTTTCGGAAGCTGATGGATTGAAGTTTTCTTCTAATTCAGCTGTTGCGTAGCGTTTCAGTTTATAAATTCGAACGTTAACATTGCTTTCATGAGCAAACAAAAAGCGGTAGGCCGCAGCATTAATACCATGTTTGCGCACAAAGTCTTCACATTGACCACTTTCGATGTCCAACGGCTTGCACTTTCGTTCTTCCATGAAAGCAGTAAAGTCAAGATTGATGACATCTAATAAAGTGCTAGGCAAAACTTCACCTTTCCCAGGATGCAAAATCTCAGTATTTGAAAGAACATTGCAAACATACAAATGTCGGTTGAAACTGAGAATACTACGGGTTTGAAAGTAGAATTTCACGACAAAACAAGCCACTCCATGTTTTTTATTGAAATAACTTGGCATATAGTCTTTCCAATTTGAAAAAAATCCTTCAGACTTTTTCTTTGACTGATGTGATTGTAAGTCAGATTTTTCAGCAGCTTGTTGTTGATTCATTTGCTCTATTTCTTCGATTTCTTGCTTCTCTTCTTTCACAATTTTTGACGTTGGCATCAGACCAAATCGCTTCAATAACGATTTTGTTTTGTCTTTTTTGATGATTTCATTAAAACTTTCAAATTCTGCTTCAATATTTTGTATATCAGTTTCAAGAATTTTTTGAAGCTTATCTAAAGGTGAAGTTTCAGTTACCATTTTTTTGTCGTGTTTGGCCACTGAACTCGTAGCATCAGCTTCAATTTTATCCAAATGAAGTTTTACCGCATTTTCATCACTCCAACTAAAATGCATTTCAGCATCAAAAGGCTTTAAGTGGGCATCGTGCGTCTGTTTCAAGTACACATAAGCTACATGCATAGCTTCTAATAATTCAGCCGAGACACCTAATGTTTGATATTGCTTGAAAAAATTGAGAACACTAAAAAGAAAATAAACCTTGAGATACGAAATCTAAAAAAAGTTTGGAGGTATTTTGCATAACACTTTCGTATTATACGACAAAAGCTTTATAAACACCTAGCATGCACTCAAGAAACTTTTTTCAGCGAGTAAATATCTACCGGTCAGTGTACTTTTGTCCAGGCTTAACACCGATTAATGTTGTCATTGAAGCATCTATATTACGATCAGCTTTGCCAATAGACTTGAGGTATTCTGAAAATAATGCTGATTGCTGTGAACGCAATGCCACTTGAGATCTCTTTTCTTCCAGCTTTTTATCGATACTTTTAGCTAGCGTTTGAATTTGTGAGGAATTGTATTTTGAATTTTCACATTTTTCTTGCTTAGCACTAATCTTGAAACCATGAACGACTTGATCGATTTTGACCCCGACTTTATTAAGCTCTTCTTCATTTGCCTCATGCTCAAATAGTTGAAAAGCAAGTTCGATGACATTTTCGCTATTGTCTTTGTTGTATTCGTTTAAGTGTTGGACAAATGTTATCCAGTTTGATCGTTTCTTCTTGTTCGTTCCATGTAGGCTAGACACTTTGTTGTCTTCATCCTCACATTCAAGCAATACAGATACCTCTTCAGTAACAGTTTGCTGATCTTCTTCTTCATCCTCATCATTTTCTTCTGCATCTGCACGTTCTTGAGCTCGACAAGCTTCAGTGAACACTGCATCATTTTGCTGTGCAAAACACTCGGCGAATTCATTAACAACATTACTGACGATGATAGAAGCTTTGGTTATTGTCTTCGATTGTGTTTGTCGATTTGCATTACTTCTCTGCTCTGTTTCCATTTTCATTACTGCACCCTCTGGAATATTATGTAATGCGAAATGCACATAGTGTGATGATCGCTCACTGATCCACTTTTCGTAGCCATCAATTCGAGAATCATTTTGGTTCATTCGAAATTCGAAGCTAATAGACATATTTCCACCACTGCCAATATATTTTTTACCGGAAGAAATAGTTGATCGATCAACAAAGGCCATGTCATTACCATTCTTGCCAAAATGTCCAGGTTTGCCAAGAATGCCATGTTCACCACTGCAGCCAGGGTTTTGTTGAATCTTTACGACAGATAGTTGTTTGCCAGAGTACAACGTACGAACTGTGCATTCGCCACGATTGCCTCCTTCTCCACCAACTCCGTTTCTGCCACCAACACCACCAGCAGTTCCTTTACTACCTTTTATGAGAAAATACAAATCATAGGTGCTAATGGACCAATACGAATAATCCTCCGCGTACGACCAATACATCATGCGCCCGTTGTCATCTTCAAATCTAGCGGAGACATATTTATTGTAGGTATCTACTTTGCGAAAACGTTCTCTAGTATTGCTTGGTGTGAAATTGAAGAAATGACTGCTTCCTCCCCAATACAATGTACTGTATTTTAAAATAAGCGAATTCAAACCATCTCGAGTTACTCCACAACCATTTTTTCCCTCTGCACCATTTCCGCCATCTTCTCCATGTTCTCCGTTTCCTCCGTTCAATTTTAACGTAAGTCGATTTCCTTCTAGCAGTTCTTCTGTTAGTAAAACAATATTTCCACTTGATTCGCCAGCACGACCATCTTTTCCATCTTCGCCATTTTCACCATAAGTTTGCCCATCACGAGCTCTCTTCTTTACATTATTGTGGCCATAGTAGCCCCTACCAGAAACGTCGATGCTGCACGATTCCCAAACATGAACTTTATCGGCCACGATAACCACATTCTTGCCATGCCACTGTTGATTTTGCAAGCTCTCGTCAATGTTGAAAACATTTTTAGCGTAGAATCGAACTTCATCAATTTTCTGATCTTGTTGTAATAGTATTTCGATTTTCTGTTTGATGTCAACAAGAAACACAACTTGACCGCTTATGGAAAGAACTTTTGTTTCAGAAGAGTCTTTAGATGTTTTGAAATTTGGGTCTTCAAATACAAAAATGTTTAATATGTCGTGCAGTTCTCGCTGATGAAGAAACTTGTCTGTGTTTATGCGTTGTAGAATTTTCTTAAGCTCCTTCGCGTAATGGTCATCTTCAGTTAGCTTTGGCCAGTCAATATTTTTAAGTGTCCTTGGAGAAAGTTCTCCGTATTTAAAAGTTTTCCATTTGTCAAAAACAACTTTGTTCATCTTGCCCGATTTGAACCATTCGATGACTAGTTGTCGAATTGCTGTTTCTGCTTCTTCATCAACGTACAATGTGAAGCACATGTCGAAGTACTTTTTTGTGCTGGTGATAATAGACTCTCCTACTTTTTCGGGATTGTTTCCAGATACCTCACAAATGTCACAAAAATTGGTTAACTGTATATTTTGCTTTTCGTTAAGGAAATCTTTCCATAATTGTGATTGAATAGTAAGAGTATCACGGTTTTTACGAAAGTTTTCAATAATTGAACAATTACCTATAATTGCAATCGATCTTGTCGGACTCTTATATTGCAGCCCATGTAAAAATTTTTTACAATTTAACGAAATCTTTTCACGTGAAAATTCGTTAAAAATTTAACGACTTAACGATTAAATATGTTACTATTTCGGCCTGGAAAACGTGTTAAATTTGCTAAATTTAACGTGTGTTCACTCGTGAAAAATTTCTAATGCGTGATTCATCGTTAAATGCATTTGCGTATAAATACAATAGTATTGAGAATTTTCTAGATTGTTATCAATTATACGAATGATTAGCAATTATTAGTCATTAATGTTTCTTAAGTTTCACTCACTTCGATCAAAAAAGTTTATATCAACAACTATATTAGAATATCGTCTTCCATAGACTGCATGCAATAATTCAACGAAAATCAAAGCACTAGTCTGTTAAATTGGTTATTTTTAAGATCAAGGTTCAACTGTCTTGTATTTTAGGTTAGTAAAGAGTCAAGAAATTATGAGTTAGTCTATTTGGTTTTTATTTATAGTGGAATATGACAACTCATAATTTCTTGACTCTTTACTAACCTAAAATACAAGACAGTTGAACCTTGATCTTAAAAATAACCAATTTAACAGACTAGTGCTTTGATTTTCGTTGAATTATTGCATGTAGTCTATGGAATACGACATTCTAATATAGTTGTTGATATAAACTTTTTTGATCGAAATGAGTAAACCTTAAGAAACATTGATGACTAATAATTGCTAGTCATTCGTATAATTGATAACAGTCTAGAAAGTTCTTAATACTACTGTATTTATACGCTAACGAACTAAAGTGGGGATGGACAAACTAGAACAATGTTAGGCTAGTAATAAACGTTTGAAAAAATTTTGAATCATCTATAGCCCATCTTTCGAAGTACTCTACAAAAAATACCAGTAAAGTAAATTAAAAAGATAGAGATCGTTTTTTTCTTTTCAGTGCTAGTAATCTCTTTTTCTATCTATGCCCTTAAAATGCCATTTCTATGTTATTAACTAGTTTCTACTGCAGAAAATCTATCGGAATAAATATTTAACTGCGCATTGAAATGGCTAGTCATTGCATAAGAAGTAGAACTCTAGGAGAAAATTAAACTGAATGGTTTCTCATTACTCAACTAATTTGAAAAGCAATATTGTAATATAAAAAGATATTGAATCTAAGAGAGTCAAAAACCAATCTTGTCTGATAATAGGCACACTGAAGTATCACTCTGGTATTCAAGTTGTGTCTAGTGGTTATATATCTACGGTCAGTAGCTACTCATTCCTTATTCTAATATTTTCTACACTGAACACTTTCTGTGTTATTATAATCTGATAAGCTAACCTTGGAAGTAATATTGACCTTCTGCATCTTAACATGAATTCAATCGTCTTGACTTAAACTTGATATATAGCATTCTATATGATACTTGTTTAATGAAAGTAGTACACTATTCAGAAAATAATGTGAAGTCATTTCTGAAACTGTATGTGTCAGCAACGAGTGTCGTAAATAGAAATGGACAAACATAAGAAATGTACCTGAAGTATAATGAATTTTTAGTCTACTGAGTCTAAGATAAAGAGCACAATGGCTTGAATATCTCGTTCATTTGATAATATTTTGATAGAATAGTCGCAAATATTTCTTATTTATTAGTGAGAGTGT